GTTTAATGATTAACTCTTGAACTCTTTAGACTTTACTAACGATCGTTTTTCTCTGTTTCTCAGAGAACAAATGGCACCTAGACCCCCTCCTCCACCTCAACCCATCGAGCGCGATGCGTCCGACAACACAAGGTTGTTGGAATCGGTGATAGATAGGTTACAACAGCAGAACCCTACATTGATGGAACAGAACACGGCTGCCTTGCAGAGTTTGGAGGCCGCTCGCGCCAACTCTGAAGCTACACAGAGGCAGTTGATGGAGATCATTGCCACTACCAGGAACACACCGGGAGCGTCCTCTTCCAACGTTACCCAACAGGCTGAGTGGAGCTTGGAGAGTTTCCTTCAGCATCACCCCGCAAAATTCAGTGGGAAATGCCTTCCTGACGAGGCTGATCAGTGGCTGAGAGATATGGAACGGATCTACAATGCCAAGAGGTGCCCTGATGATAATAGACTCGCATTCACGGAGTATCTGCTGATTGGAGAGGCCAGTCACTGGTGGGCGAGCATGAAGATGATCTTAGCAGACATTCAAAGCCCCATTACATGGGAAGTATTTAGAAGCAAATTTTATGAAGAATACTTTCCAGATAGCGTTCGTTTCGCCAAGGAAGTGGAGTTTCTGCAACTGGTACAAGGTGGGATGTCCATATCAGAGTATACAAATAAGTTCAAACACTTGGTTCGTTTCAACACTGTGGCTACGAGCGAAGAATGGCAGTGTCGTAAGTTCGAAAATGGGCTGAGAAGTGAATTGAAGCTATTGATTTCTAGCCTATGCATCAAGTCTTTTCCTGCTATGGTTGAGCGAGCCAAAGTGTTGGAGAAGAATGTAGTAGAAGTAGAACAACAGAAGAAACAACAAGTGGCTAGAGGGCCGATCTTGTCAAGAAATAATGCGAACCTGAGAAGGACACCTTACGTTCGACCAGCACAATTAGTGAATCCAAGTGTATCTAAAGCAGTGGTGGCTGTCGGGCAGTTTGGCCAACAAGGAAACGTGACCTATTTCCAGTGTGGAGGACCACATTTCCGCTCGTCATGTCCTCAGCTGATAGGAGGAAAATTTTGCACTCGTTGTAGGAGAAACGAACATTTGGAGAATGAGTGCAACATGGGAGGACGAGCAGTGATGAGACCACCGAACGCGGGAAGGAATCAACCGAGAGGTGGTGGTAGAGCTCAAGCAGTTGGGCGTGTGTATGCTATAACCGTCGCAGAGGCAGCAAGCTCAGGTAATCTCATAATTTGTGAATGCTTGCTGTATGGTAGATCTTGTTGTGTATTGTATGACTCGGGAGCAACACATTCCTTCATCTCGAAGGCATGCGTTGGGAAACTGGGTTTAGTGGAGAGAGAGATGCAGTTCGACCTGGTGGTGTCAACCCCAGCGGCTGGTGAGGTTAAGACGTCC